GTCCATGGGATCCGAGCCCGACTTGGAAACATGATTAGGGACGGTTCCAGACACCTGCGCCTTCTACCACCTGCAATATTCTTGACTTGGTCATATAACCGGTACCCAGGTGGGAGAGGAGCGGCCCTGTAGAGGCAAGGCAAGTCTGCGCCCACCCTAGTGTTTTGCACACGGTGAACCTCGTCGGGATCGTGTGGAAAATAACACGATTCTACACAGAGATGCAGTCATTTTCAGCATCGTACGTCGAGTTGCCCGCCATTCACCCTGTAGCGGATAGCTGAATCGGTTAGAACGTAATAAAACTGGCAGCAGGACAGCTAAAATACCGAGCAGGCTCCAAGAGCTGGTATACCAAAAAACTTCGCTCGGGGAATCAGACGGAAGACACTTTCCTGTGCGTATCACACCGCAGGAAACCGTAAAATGAATATCAGAAAACATACTAGCTTAATAGATTTGGCCGCTTGTTGCTCACAGATACCGAGGTGCCAGTTGTCTGGTACCCAATCAATGACCGAAATTGCAAGGTAGTAGGCAATCCTTATATATAAGCAGGTCCGGCCGGCGAGCCTAATAGAGTTCCCCTACGGTAAAAGAGCGAATAATCACGACGCCTATCGTCTTGAGAACCCCTCCAAATTACTGGCTTACGTGCAAGTTACACAAATTTTAATAAAATACCCGCAGATGAGGCATCCTCGGTCGGGAGCGAATGGCCGGGGCTGAAGCATTTCATTATAGGTTTCTAGCGAGAAAGGCAAGCCAACAGACAAACGTTTTCGGAGTTAGGATGACCAGATATGTACTTGCTCTTCATGGAGCAACGGTGTTCGCACGAAATGGATGCGGAATACTTCAATAAACTAATGTGAAATTAAAATGAGCTGTTACATACTGTTCCAGACCCCGAAGACAGCTCCTAATCTGTCTGCTTCAGCAGAGTCAATGCTCAATGATAACGGCAATAAGGTGAGACACTACCACGGAATAAACAGACCACTCAGTTTATGCGAACCGCAGCATATCTTCTAGATGGGTGAAGCCAAAGCTAAGCATGTTCTAATTAAGTTGAGAAGATACCAACGGGAGCGAACGGTATGTCCCATGAGAATTATAGGAAGCGCCGTGACTGATAGCACGGACCCAGGCCCAAATTAGGAAACACAAAACCCTGGGCTGATGTTAATTTATGGATAATCTACCCCTCGCTATACGATAGCTGGACTTCCATACTGCTCAATAGCACAATACATTCAGGTCTTCAGCACCATAATCCGCTTCGCAGCAGAACTGTACACGGCGAATCCATACGGGCGTGAAGCCGAAGACTAAAGCCCTGTAGGTGATAAAGCAGCTGAGCTAGTGCTCAGTTATCAATACATTGATATATAATGGCGAACATCTCATTCACTATTAATGACGGCCGGCACCAGTATACCCATTGTTACACGAAATTGACTATAGCTCCATGCGAATACTTTGTCTGACCAAATGGAAGCGGAAAGAAAAAATAAAAATTAACTTAGTGCTTATTCCACAGACCAAGTCCTTAAAATGTTTTTCACCAGCCATACATACCCTCCAAGATGGATATGCGTTTTCGCACATATGGAAACTTGTCAAAATATAGCACCAGCAACACCGGGCACAAAGCATACTCCTAATAATTCCGAAATAAGCATAGCTGTAGTTATGAGGATGCGTAGGAAGAGTGATCGCAATACCAATACCTGTGCGGCAAGTCGGCGTATACTTCGGACAACCTAACCCTACCCGACGGCATCAAAATCTTCCGGACACATTAATACACAACGCCAAAACGAGATCCACCACTATTGTTGTACATGAAACCAATGCCAACCTTCGCCTACGATCAGTAAGTGCTTCAGAAATATGTGTAAAAGAAAGGTCTTGTTATCTGGCATTTGAAAACTGCCAACAAGTTTGAGCACAAAAAAGGAAAAAAAAGTATATTACACGTCTATCCCATGCTCTTCAGGCAGGCAAAAAAATGGTGCCCACATATGCAGGGGGAGAACTTTGGATCACAAAATAACAAGGGTCTCCCCGTCACTCTATGGAACGTGCTAAGCAATGTCACAACAAAAATTTGAAATTAAGAACCAATCGTTGTACAAGGAACCTAACGCTGATGAAAATATACAAGCCCATTAATCGCAAGCCGAGGACATTGAGGAGAAAGACGAAATATGCAACAACAGTCTAAGAGGAGCTTCCGTTGATCAGCGCAACTCTCTGGCAATTCCAACGATACAAGTACGATGAAGGCACACCAATCGTTCATTGCGCATTGCAGACCTACTCCTTCCTCGCCCTTTGCTTTTTTCGTTTTGTCGATGGTATATCCTGCCAGGCTTCTAGATCCACAGGGTTTTAATTAGTAAATGGTATTACCTTCAACAGGTTCCATAACAGCCGGTTTCGGGGGATTAGGCTCCTCTGCTACAGGTGATTCTTCGTCTGAAGATCGCTGGGGCCTAGGTTCAGCAGATTTTTTGGCCTTCTGGGAGTTTTTAGTCTCCTTTGGTGTGGATTCCTTTGAGGCGCCTTTGTCTTGTTTGGGTTTCTGGTTTACTTTCGCGGGTGCGTCGGCGGTTTGAGGTCCACGCGAAGATTTGCCGCGCTTAACTGTCACCCACTCATCATCCTCTACAGCCGCAACCTCTATCTCCTAAAAGATGAGATGTTAAAAATTACAAAACCTCAATAGCTGGAGCAGCATGTTCTACTTTTGCATTGCCCTTGCGGTTCTTATTGGGAGCAACAACCGGAGCAGCAGACTGAAACTGGGGAACGACCGTGGGTTGGATTTTTTGTTCGGAAGAGTCTTGTGTTGTCTGTGTTTTTGGTGTCGACTTAAAAGAGTAAAAAAAAAACAGGCGATCAACATACCGGAGGCTTGCTCGCCGCCTGGATTCGTTCGGGTGACTTCTTTTTTTCTTTACCCTTCTTTAGCTTCGACTTCTGTGCTAGCGAATCGCTTGATTTTCCTGTTACACATCGCCAAAGGACAAAGGAGATGACGAGGACTACGGCTGTTACGATGCCAGCGCACACTGCATAATTTGGCAGGTATTCCACGATATCGGCCATAGGGCAAGCCGCAAGCGCAGAAGCCACCAAAGTTTTTTAAATGGTTCGCAACAATTTAAACAATGGAGTTTGCCATAAGGTTCTCGATACAGTACAGGTTAGATTACCTTTCCCATAACTTATTTGTAACATTCATTGCTTATTGGTTATTGTTTTGCGTTTTGGACTAGTATATGTGAGTATGCGAAGCCATCCTAGCATTCAATGGCATTTACAAGAAAACTACTACGTCCGACATCCTCAAATACTTCCTACTCAAATAGATACCAGCTCATGAAACTGAATTTTCTTTGGGTCAGGAGACCAGAAGGAGGCTCTCCTCACTTCTTTTTCGCCTTCGTAAAAGTTCAGTTCTCTCCAAGATTTCTGTCCTTACAACTTAAAGAATTCCGCACTGATTATACCTCCTCCTGCATCCTCCACGTCTAAACGCTCTCTCTTCTTTGCTTTCAGGTGCAGCTTTCTTTGGAATAACTTGCTTATTGAAATAAGGTCGTTAACCAGTCTGCTTTCAAACGAAGACCGCACATTTATCTTAACAATAGGTTCGACCCGCAACCGACTGACAACGAGCTGAGTGGATATTTCTGTTCTCCAACTTTGTCGGTGTACTCTGCAATCAGCAAGGGAGTATCAAGCTGCATCTTCGGCACCTCCGTGATGATCTCGGTGACCTCTGCGATGCCCCTTGTGATTAGCGATCTGAGACAGTGGGTCGCATTTCCGCACTGCCCGTTTTTACTCCGTTATTCGCGAGCTAAG